AATCTTTTTATTATTAGTAAGAATAAGGTTACTATTATAGAGATTAAAAAAGCCTTATTAAATACTTATAAAATAATAAATATAAGTTCTATTAGTTACTATTTTAGTATTAATATCTATTAAGACTAATATATAAGAACCTTTATACTTTTTTAAAGTAAATATATTAAAGCCCTTTTAAAAGAAGCTAGCCTTCTTAACTATAAACCTTATAACCTACTAATAAGTCCTACTATTAAAAGTATTAAATAATAGCTAACTATTAAGAATAACTAGTATACTAAGACTTATAAAGGCCTAATTTATCTTTCTAACTACTCTAAGCCTAATATCTACTTTACTATTAACTATTATTATAGATTTATAGCTACCTTACTAATAGAATATATTACTAGCTTAAAATAACTCCTATAATATATTAAAAATACTACTAACTATAAACTTATTTTTATAAGACTTAATAAAGGACCTTAAGTTTATTATAATACTAATTATATTAACTACTAATAAATATATAAATCTATTAATAGCTTTATTATTACCTTAAAGAATAGTATTATATCTTAATACTTAAAGCTATAAAATATTATTATATACTTAACTATTAAAGTAAAGTATATCTCCTAGTATAATATAGCCTAGGAAGCTATCTAGATTTAATAGCTTTATTATATTATTATAAAAACCCTTAAGGAAAAGCCTACCTATATTAAGATTACTATCTAGGCTAATAACTCTAATACTATTACCTAAGCTTCTAATATTTAAGAATACCCTTATATAAAGTATATAGATATTTAATACTACTAATTATATAATAAGAATATACTATACTAGTTAAGCTTTAATTAAATTCTAAGTACTAAGAATATTATTAATATTATAACTAAGTTATTACTAAAGCTAGCCTTTTATAAATATAAGTACTACCTAGGACTATACTAAGTACCTTTTAAGCTATAATTTTCTAGAGGTCTATTCTAAAAGTATTATACTCTTAAGGCCTTTAGTCTCTAGGGTATTACCTACTAGAGCTATTCTATAAATATTATAGTTAATTAGTTCTATACCTCTAAGGTATTACCCTTTATAGGTACTATAATAAGCTCTTTATTAGTACTATTAGTACTAGCCTCTAGGGTATTACCCTCTAAAGGCTAGTAAGCTTTCTATCTACTACTATTTCTTTACTTC